CGGAGGCTGAAGGCAGAAGGACTCTATGAGGCTAGCCATCCCCATGCTTGAGGTATTCCCACCCCACCCCAGGCCAGATGGCAGGACCAGGTCTTCAAAGCCTTACGGAAGGCCAGGAGTGAGGGGACCAATCGCACCTCTGGGGGCAGAATGTTCCAAAGGGCAGGGGCTACTGCAGAGAAGACCCGCTTTCTGGACCCCGCCAGTCGAAGTTCTTTCACTGAGGGGGTCTGAAGCATGCCCTCTCTGTGCGATCGGGTGGGACGGGTTGAAGTCATAGGGGAGAGGCGGTCCCTTAGATAACCATGGTAGTTAACGTGGACCTCTTCACTGTAAATGCCAATACTCAGCAAACCTTCTTTAAGAACTCTATTTAGAATTGTGCTTTTCAACTCTGCAGTGTTGCGGCTGGGTTCACCCAACTGTACTAAGCCAAGTTGTCAAGTCACAGGTATTATAGATATCACATGAAGCTGAAACAAATGGTGTTATGGCTTTATGCAGTGGTCTGCTTCACATAACATGCTTCCAAAAGGTACTGAAGAGCCAACTGCATTTTAGCCTGGAATGATTGATTGCATGCCATCAAGTTGGTGTCAGCTGTTAATGACTGCATAACTAGACCTTGTCCAGGATGGTCTGCCCCCATCCTAGCCTTCAGGTCTTCCAGCAGTGCACTTCTCACTGCTGTAATTGAGGCAGTCCACCTTGCTGTTGGTCATCCTCTTCTCTTCTATTTTCTTCCACTTTCCTTTTCTTTTTCATCTTTCCCAAAGTAATAGTCCAGATTCGTGTGCTGCATTAGCCTAGGTATAGATTAGTAGCCCTATTAAAATGGTATACTTTAATTTAACATTACTTATTAATTAAGATGTTGCAGAATGATTTGTTGCTTGTTCATGATGAGTTCTCTCTCTCTCCCCCCTTTCCCAATTTTAGGTTTTTTTATTCCTGGTTTTCCTAAGCTGTTGAGGTTTCAAGAACATCATGACAAAATAATGAAAAAATTTTTGTCCAAGCTTAAGCATCATTTTGTAAGTAAATGCCAACAGGAATATGTTGATAAAGAAGATTGTTCGCAGATTAAATTTCTTTAGTATTTAATTTTGCCCAATTTAGGCACTCTTGTTGATATCTAGAAAAATGATGAAGCTATGTTTTATCAAATCAGATCTTTGTTTTTTTAATCTAAAACTTTGTGTTGTTTAACCCTTTAATAAATCACTATAAGTGTTGGCTGTCTACCACTTTGGTATCTTCATTATCACTTCTAAGGCTGGTTATTGTACTTGTAGTCATTAGTTTGCTCTTTATATTTAATTAAAGTTCCATTTTTCTTCTTTTACTGTGCTTCTTGACTTTTATTACTAGGGCTTGCAGATCCTTTGCATTTTTGGCTATTGGAATAGTGACATCAGCATAATGCAAGTTACTGATCTTTCTGCCTCCAATTTTAAAACCACACTCATCTTCACTTAATATATATTCAGTCATATAGGTTGAATAAATAAGGGGAGAGTATACAATCTTGTTGTACTCCTTTGCCAACCTGGAGCCAGTCTGTTTCACTATGTTCTGTCCATACTGTGGCTTCCTGATCTGTCTATAGATTTCCCATGAGGACAATGAGATGTTCTGGGATTCCCATTCCTCTAAGCACTTTTAGCAGCTTGACGAGACTGACACAATTGAAGGCCTTTCTGTAATCGGTGAAGCACATAGTGGTTTCTTTTTGGCATTCTTGGCTTTCTCAAGGTCCTTCATAACTAGGAGCATTGTTTTTATGTTAAGCAGATTCTTTTTAAAGAGTAACAGCTCTTTAAAGGTAACAGGTAACAGAGTGAGAGTTCTAGTCCTGCCTTAGCCAGAAGCCAGCTGGGCAACTTTGAGCCAGTCACTCTATCTCAGCCCTAAATAGAAAGTATTGGTAAGCCACTTTAAAAAATGTTGCCCAAAAAATTGCAGGGACTTGTCTCTGTAGTCACTGCAAGTCAGAGTTGACTCAGGATATTCATAACAACAACAAAGAACAACAAAAAATTGGAGAATACTTCAAGCTGATCTATGATGAGGGTTTAGGAATCACACAAAATCTGTGTTTTGCCTTAAAGAGAAAGAGAGAGATGCAAACACTCTCTAAACAGCTTGGAGACAAAACACACTGATCTAGATGCTGAACAGTAATTTCCCAACACACTACCTGACTGCGGTCACTAGAGCTACCATAAACTGGTGCTTTGCCAGCTAAGCACGTCAGGAGCTACCATGGTTGGTGGTACTGAACGCTGCCAAAAGGTCCAGACTCACAAGAAGCCCACTAGTAGTTATCCATCAAGGCAGCATAAGAGTGTTGAAACGAAGCCCTGAGGAGAAATACCCTTTGAATATACTTTGCATTTAACTTCAAGTTTGCATTCTGTGTGCCAATTTATCTTCTGAGATTGGCGAACCGTTTCTTCTTGGCAGGATTCCCAGGAGGTCAACACCAGCTTTTATACAATGAAGTGGTTTTTCCAGTGTTTCCTTGACCGTGTGAGTAGCCTTAGCTGTTGTTTTCATTATCACCCCAGCTGACCCTCTGTGCTAGACATGAATTTTTGTTTATCTGCTGATGCGTTCACATGGTTCCTTCATTGCAGACTCCCTTTAGGTTAACCCTCAGGATCTGGGATATCTACATACTTGAAGGAGAGCGAATTCTTACTGCAATGGCTTACACCATTTTGAAACTGCACAGAAGTAAGAGCTTTGCCCTGGCTTGAAATACTCACTGTGGTCAAAATGGTCAGTCCCTGTTTTGAGCGGCTAGGCTTGGGGGATTCTTATTTCTAGCTGGGTGAAAACTCTCAGTAAAGTAGTTATTGAGACACTACAGCTGTTTAATGTTAAAAAATGTTCCAAGAATAGAGAGAAGAAATGTTGTAGTTGCTGAAAGACCTTGTTCCCCTAGCCCCATCTCTTTCCTTTGAGACATGTTGGCACTGTACCTCCCAATTATTGCTGATTGTAGAAGCTAAGTCCATCTTTTTTTTAAACATTCTACTTCTCAAGAGTTGCAGTTTGTATGTTATGTTTTAAAAGGCCTACTTTTATTTGACTCTTCAGTTTATTTCACAAATGTAGCAGGGCTGGGAGGCTATCCCCATTTTGACATGTTCCTAATGGGACCAGCAACAAAGCAATTTGGCATTCCCCCTCCCTGGGAGCTTTTACTCAGCCAGCTGTTTTCTACAAACTGGAAATTCCACCTTTCCCCATTGTTTCGGTTTTTCCTGTCCAGTGTGGGCTGACCATACCAGGGCTACTAGGGATCTTCCAGCATCCCTGGGTTCAGTTGCTAAAGATTCGTTGTAGCTTTGCAAAAATAGGGTCTCCTGAGCATATTCTACTTATGCTTGGCTTCTCAATAATCTCATCTTGGTTGGAACTCATCACCCACGGTCAATATTAGAGGGAGGGGAGGAAGGTCAGCACATCTAGCTATATATTTTTGGTACATTTCTTCCTACCCCAAGTGACTCAGGATTCTAGAATTAATGATTTAAGAAGTAGATTGGGTTCCATTTTTAAAGGAATTCACTTCTTACATAAAGAAGGATACTTTCTTGCATTTTAGTCACACCTTTACTGCCTGATACTTGTTTTTTTCCCCATAACCCTAGAACACCTGATGAAATTGCAGATGGAAGAACTGGTCCAGTTTCTTCAAGAGACTCTTGCCAAAGATTTCTTCTTTGAGGATGATTTTGTAATAGAACAGCTCCAAAGCTCCATGGCAGAACTGAAACGAGCAAAGATGGACCTTCCAGTAGCGGGTAAGTAACTTCTGGATCCCAGTAGCTCATTTTGATATGTTCATTTGCACACCTTTTGAAATTTCCTCACTTGTTGGCAAGGATTGTCAGATTACAATACCAGGAAGAGGTGTCTGCAGGAACTTCAATGTCTCTCCTTGGAAACCCTGGTCATTTACCAACATGATGCATCTACAGTATGTGATTGTCACTTGTGCACTAAACTTGGCAATATTCTGACAGGACCCTGGAAAGTGGAACTCCTTTTTTTCCCTTGGAATATACCTCAGCTGTAACTAAGGCAGTTCAGTTGGTTTTGCTATCTTGCTTCAAGGTGTTGATGTTCATCTTCTCAGTATAACATTTCTGCAAATTTTGAAGCTGTGGGAAAGGCATTATTTTTTTTCCTCCCTGCTTCCCCCCCTCTGAAAGGAAATAGAATTTGGGGGAAAATGGAGGCATATTTATTGTTTAGAATCCTTTACAGGTATAACTTCATTGTTAATGAAATCTTAATGAACACCTAATTTCATAGATGTGTATTTGGTGTATGCAGTTGAATAGTGGCATTTATTCACAGGATAATGACAAATGTAGTGATTTAATTTATTTTAAATGTTGTTTAGTTTTTATAACTAATGGGTCTCTCAAACCCTAAGAAATGTAGCATCTTTTCATTATGTTCTGTTCAGTTAAAACAGGCAGGTAGTAAGTTACCTTTGAAAACAAGAAACCATCAACTTTATAGTAAAGCAGAGAATGTAAATTCTGGACATTTCTGCCCATACTTTAAATATAAACTGCACATAAGTTCAGAAAAAAAGAACAGAAAATAAGGGGGAACACACATTTGAAACATTAAATGGTGTCTAATCAATCATTTTCTGAACCTGTTTATCTATCAGTGGTTTCCATTTCTATTGATCCCTTATTTTTTATCATTTCTTCATTTTTATGGATTTCTGGAAACAGAATGCTTCCCGGTATTGTGACATCACATGTTTGTTTATTTCTTAATTTGGTGGGAATACTGTCAATTTTAAATCAGATACTTTTGCATCCTAATAATTTTATAGCTTATTTAAGATATTTGTGGTGTTTTATAATTCATTTTTCCAATTTCTCAGGAAAAAATCAAAAACAAAATGTCAAAATGGGGCAAAAAATGGAAAAAAGCAGTACTCCCCCCCCCACATTTTTTCCCCAGCATATCTGTTCTTTAACCCAAACCATGAATAAGGATAGAGAAAATAGTATGTCTGATCATTTGCATCTTAGGAGGCATCTGTTTCCCCCAAACAGCCTACATTCTGGCATGGACCTGGACACATTCTGAATCCGGCCTTGCATCCTTTTAATTAGAATGAAGGTCGTGTTAATTTCTAGGCAACAGGCTCTGGAAAAGTGTTTTCGACTGTGATGGGAAAATCGCTGAGATCCTCTTTGCCAATTGTAGCAGTCTTTGCAGAAAGAGAAGGACGTTTCCCTAGTTGTTTATTCTGCAAATCCTGCCTTCATAAGGATGTTTTTGTGCCATTAAATGAAGAAGGTTGGAGAGGGAATTGAATGTTATGCTTCAGTTCTTCACCGAGAGATGGTCCTTCAGGAGACCTATCAGCATACGTAACCGAGGAAAGCGAGTAAAAAATGTCAAGTGCAAATATTTCTTTCGAAAGATGGGGAAGAAATTTGGCAGAGTGTGTCAGACTACAGAGTGAGAGGCGCTCTACTGTTGTGAATGGTGGCACCATGCAGGTTTATATAGGTTTTATATTGTTTTCCACCCCTGTGTAGTTCTAGTATTGCATCTTTTTTTCACTGTCAGGTTGTTGACATTTCCAGTGAAAACCTGAAGGCCTCTAGCTTTACTAGTTACCATCAGTTTACACCCCATCTGTGGTTACTGTTGAAGGCGCAGTGCATTTTAAGAATATCAGAAAGACACCAATCCCAGTTTGAAATCTCATGGTAATGGCAGTTGGCCTTTTCAGTCAACAGATTTTCCATTTATTTCTTCTTTAACTACTACTATCTATTTGCCAACCTGTGCAAGGACACAGTTTTCTTATCCTCAGGTCTTTTCTGCAGCTGTCCTTTCCTTTCCTTGTAAAATTGGAATTTTAAATATGGAGTGACATGTTCTGGCCTGCCTTGAGTATCATTAATAGCAAACATATAAACATTGTTATGTTTTTGGGACCTGCAGGACATGTTTTCTGGGGGGAAGAGAGAACAATTCAGACCTTTGCCCCCCTCCGTTCAGTTACTTTCTATACCCATTTGTTTCCATTTGACTTCGTTTCTTAGTTTTTCCTGCTCATCCTTTCCCCCCCACCCAGTTGTTACTTTCCTCCATCCTTCCCTTGCCTTTGGAATGCAGACATACCACCCAAGATTCCTGCCTAGAACTAGCTTGAATGACAGGAAAGAAATGCAGTTGGGTTCTTTCCCTTCTTGTCAAGTCCATTACGTTCAGTTGGAGCACAAGGTCCATCGCTCCTAAAACCCAAGTGACAGAGATGGACTAAAAAAGAGTGGAAGGACATCCATATTCTGGAGTGAATAAGCAAGAAAGAACTACACTAGCTATCCTCTGCTCCCAAGCATTTGTCAGCAAAAGTGTGAGTTTCTGATTGCCCATAATTTCTCTGCAAGCTTGTATGTGTATGTGTGTACCTCTTCCACAGGCATACCATTTTCTCTGAGTTTATATCTTTGGAAAATTGACATATTGACACACCCTACCTGGTGGTTGTGTGGGTGGTGTTTTTTGTCTAACCTTCTTGTTGGAGTCTCTTCCTCTACCTGCAGTCACAAAAACACCCTTGCCTCCCTCCCAGAAAATCTAGCACATTTCTTGTTCATTTTATTCAAGAAGTAGATTCATTATCCATATGTCATCAGTCCTTGAGTCTTATCTTCCCACCCCAGGTTCATCTTTTTCTAATCGTTATTTACAAGCAATTCTGTTCATCCTTAGGTATGTGCTCTGCCTTTTTTAGACATTAGCTCACTTTGATACTGCAACTTGGACAGACAGGTTCTCCCAGGTAGGTATGGCGGGCGGGGGGGTTCCT